ATTCTATTCATATATATCTTTTTATTATCTATCACTAAGCTTATTTAGTCACAGACGAATCCTATTAAATCTGATTCACATCTATTAGTACCAGACCAAACAGTCAACAACATAGTGTGCAGGATAGCTGTCAATCAGTCAGATGAGACCCCTAGATTTGGACTGATTGATTGACCCGCAGCCCTGATAGTCTTGTACGTTGAATCACAGTGTCCACTCGTGTCTATATAGTTCCTACGGCTGGCCGGTACCTAGACGTCTAGTATCTCTCGATAGCAGCACAATATCCAATTGAACACCATCTTACAACATCCAATTGAACACCATCTTACAAAATACACCTGAACCAAAGCCTTGATCATGTGTTATATAATCAAGCACTCTCAACTTTGCCGCTGCGGCAAGGCAAAACACCTGAGAGTCCTCAACGTGGGCTGCGAGGAGGGCAGGGAAAACGGCCTTGGCAAATGTAGTCTCGGTATCTCAGACGAAAGGCGGGTATACAATTGGGTGTGTCCTGAATGTATTGCAGCCGAGGAAGAAAAGAAGGCTCGCGACCAAGCGAGGGCTGGACGGGCCTAAGCGGACTATCTCATGAAGCGGGACTCCCGAAACAAGAGAAAATGGTCTTGCGGCTAGCAGAGCTGGGGCCAGCACAGGGAATGCGAGATACTTCCAAGGAACGATACTTCTAATTCAACAGTGGGGCAATTTTGTTGAATATCTTCAGCTCTCTTGTGGAATGTATCTCTCCTGGTAGACAAACAATACTACCTATGTGTGACAGGCCAGATTCGATACTGTAACTGTGATGTTGTTCGAAAGAGCGGCAATATCTCCAGCTCGTTGTAGCCAGAGCACAACTCTACATTCAACTGCCTTCAAACTGTCCATGCTATATGACCCGGCTTCATGCACCCTGCTGCCATGAAGACGGCAGTGCCCTCAATCTGGCGAGAGAGAAGGTCAGAGCCCGGGCTTCGTAGGCCGCATGACTGTGGTGTCGTGCGTACACAGTAGCTTTGCAGTATACGGAACAGGACGAATAACATCGGCGGGCAAAACTAGGTCATTGGGGAACCTGTCTTCGATTGTCACTGGTCGGGTATCAGCCATGGTTCGAGCCACAATGTCTTGAACGGATCACTCTCTAAGTTGCTCATGGTGTATTTTACGAATTCTGCCTTGAGATTGATTTCCTGAATGCATTTTCGGTCGCCTAAGAAATGCAGCTAATTCAGGGCCTCCAAATCGGCTGGGGGGTCGGTCACAGGCTGCAAGGGAAGTCTCACGGTTGTAAGCGAGTATCACTGCACAAGAGATTGTGGTGCCACATTTCCTCTCGTCACAGTTTGTTTAACGTGTGATGCGCCCTGGACGTAGCACTTTGAGTATCAGCACATTCCACATGTGTCTGAAGCTTGATAACATGAAGCGAACAAATAATGGGCTAGGGTCGCATCGCCGAAGAATAGGGGAGGATAGTGTGCTCGCTGGTGATACCCATTCGCGTAGTCTTCCACTGGCACTGCACGCGGTTGGCGAAAGAAGCCAACAGAAGCGAATACATCCAGAACAGTCTAACAAGCTGACAGTTCACAGCCCGTACAGCCAACCAGGAATGATAGCACATTGTCGAGTGGTCTTACGTCCGCCTACCTGCTAGTGTCATCGTGGAACTTGATGTTCCTGCCCAGGCTCACGTACACTCCTTTCATGCTCGTCAGAGTCATTCCATACTGTTTGTGTGATCCGGAGTGTGATAGAGTAGACTTGTCTCCGATGAATCCCCAGGGGCGACGGTGCCTATATTGCCTCCCAGGCCGCCGCACCCAAGTCCAGATTATCTTCAGCTTCCAGTCTTCTCGAGAGCAAAACGCACCATCTCAAACTACGATCACCCTGACAACTTCCACTTCCAAGCCTACAAGATGTGCTATACTATCAAAGAGTACTCTGTTTGCGTCGGTTGCAAAAAGCGGAATCTTATCAACAGCATCCAGGCCCCCTGCGAGGAGGGAGCCAGAAAAGGCTTCGGTCAGTGCATTGGTGGCGCCAGGGACACGTCAAAGACAACCGACGTCGAGTGTTCGGCATGCGTGAAAGCTCGCGAGGGCAAGAAGGAAACGATCACGGTCTGGTGGAGGCAATATGAATAAAAGTGACCATGGAGTCGACAGTCTGATGCACCTCAAGTGGAGTGAAGGAGGATGATGGAGAAGAAAAGGTGTATCCAGCAAAGGCGCGATTAGTGCATTCAAGCCAGCGAGCATAAGACGAATGCAAGATAACCAAACCGTGTGGTCCGTTTTGTGATATCTGACAGTCCCCTCCATTCTTCTTAGTCCCGCGTCGATAATACTCCTCTGCGGCCGAAGGCTTCTTAAACCTGTTTGTATACTCAGCAGGATGCCTCTATAGCACTCTTTTGTCAAGAATAGCAGTTTCAACTGGTGGAGAAGTGTCATAGCTTCGGACTATGTTCCAATGGGGTGATCATTCAGTTAGACGACCGAAGCTAATCCTCTCGCAGTCCCGTGCGCATGCACGATCCGCAGGTTATGCCGGCAATGAGATGTCCGTTTCACCTCCAGCCTCGTTCTATCATGCGAAATTTCCAGATTTTTAAACAGTGAGCTATAATACTGACTGAGTACATGTAATATGAGGCATAGACGCTACGCCCTGGTCTATAAGTGCCTGCTTGCTTCCAGTCAACTCCATGTCGTGTCCAGACTCAAAATATGTTGTTCAGGATGGGCTGATATTCAGGAGGCATTTGAGAGAATACATGTAGACGACGAAGTGAAGGAAAAATTCATGTCTATATGTATGCGCGCCGTGCCAAAGATTGGGGAAGAGGGCGATCGGGGCTGCAATCAAGACTGTCCAGCGCAGCCGACTTGGACACGTTTGTGACATGACAGAGCGACTGGACTCGAGTGGCTCTTTGCTGCTTATCTCCCGGGGTTGAGCACTTAAGCTGCACGTTGACCCTCCCTCAAGGAGTCGACTCCGTATCCATACATGCAATTTGGATGCCGAGCCTCAACCCTCGGCGTCCCGAATCCTACATACGCCCACCACTCGCCGGTCGTTGGACAATGGGATTTCAAAACCCGCAATCGTCCGTGACAGCTTGTAAGAGCCCGCATTTACCCTCGTCTTCGACCCGCGACGGTGTGGGCTAATATTGCATACGATTGGCCCCCCCGTCACCATCTCCGACGGCGCCTCATGGATGTGGAGAGTCGACGGACTGCCGTGCCTGGGATCCCTGTCGCCATGGTCCATGCCTCAGGGCTCGAATGAAGAAGGATCGTCCATGCTTTTACGACAACGCAGGGGCACGTCTGTGCTGTTTCTCGACGATCCCCGTTGCTCCCCTTTCTTTGCCGTTGTCACATACAATGAATCTGGACTACTGTACGGAGTGCGTAGTATCAATCCTGTGAAACAGCACTTGAATCATGCGTGATGGAGCACTTTCTTTGCCTTGATATCGCAGCGTGACACCGTCGTCCCTTTCTTCTCGCTTCTTTACACCTCCAGCCTGGCATTGGGCTTTGCGCATCGTGAGCAGAGATGGCGCAAGACGGCACGCTGAAAGGCCAGATTGGGGCGGTCGACAATCTCCAGGCCCCTCTGCCCGTCTGGAATCGAGAGTCGACCATTATCGGAATGACAATCGTCTTCACCGTGAGTTACTCACTACATATCCGACCGTGATTCGTGCAGCTTCGCTGACCCCGAGTATGTAGGTCATCACGTCGACATGTGTTCTGTTGCGATTGTATGCAAGATTTCGCATTATGAACATGGCAGGATGGGACGATTACTGTATGATCTTTGTTATCGTATGTGCAAAAGCAGCCTGGACCCAACAACCTTTGCAGTGGCTGACTGATGAACAATAGACTATGGGCGGCGTTGGCACAGTATGCGTGTGCATGTGTAAGTTCTAGTTACGCTTTCAGCAAGCGTCATTGGGAAACATGGAAGCGAACAAGCTGACGCCCGATTTCCAAGTACCTGGCCTTGGCGGACTCGGTAGCCATCTGCTTGAAATGTCGGACGCGAAGCGACAGATGTACTTCAAGCTCTTTTACGTCGCCGATGGCAGCTTCGTCTCCACGGTCGCGCTGATCAAGCTATGTCTGCTCCTACAGTATCTGCGAATCTTCGACCGCGGCTTACAGCGTCGTGTCTGTCTTGCCATGTTCGTTGTCGTAGGACTGTGGGCGTTGGTCACCTCCTTCATGGCGTGGGTGCCCTGCTTTCCTGTGCACGCGTTCTGGGACTGGTCTGTCGAAGACAAGACGTGCTATGCATATGGGTCCAAGTACGTGAGCGGCCATTACGCCATCTTCCTGACACATTCGATCGTCAACATTGGCCTGGACCTGATCATCTTTGCTATCCCGCTGCCCCTGCTTTTCAGGCTCAGCACCCAGCACCGCACGAAGCTCGGGTTGATTGTCCTTATCATGCTCGGTGTCATGTAAGTCTCCCTGCAGAGGGATGTGAAGACTGTCCAACTGACAACCGCAGCACGAACGTGCTCGCCGCGCTTCGGCTGGCAGAAACCGTCAGGCACAAGGCCATGAGCTACCCTACCTTTGATCATCCATGGTACGCACCGGCGCTTTGCATGCTCGGCATGCTCGAGGTGAACTTTGCTTGCATCGGCGCGTCGATTCCCGTCTTCTGGCCTGTCTTCAAGAACCGCCTCGAGGCCATTTTCGTGACGCGCGAGATCAACGTATCAGTGGCGGCCCGCAACTCGAGCGACATGCAGCTTCAGCGACTGGAAAGTCTGCACAGCCAGGATGGCAGCGACGGGACGAAGCGACTGTGGAGAGAGGGATCGAGGGAGGTTGACAAGAGTCACCACTACCAGGACGCGTACGTGATAGACCAGGTCGATCCGTTGCGGGCCAGGACGGCGCTGGCGGTGGATACGACGGTCACCACGGGCAGACACGCCGGGGAACGACAAAATGATAAGGCAATGTGAATCAAAAGCAAGGTATATATATACATGCTATTTAAGATCCGGGTCCAGCAGATGCCCGTGGCAACTTTAGCTGCTCGAGAGGCCGTCTTTGTTCGTCATGAGAAAAAGAAAAAGAAATGTACAGATGTTAAACAGTATCTCTTTCCACGCCTGCTCATATGGGCCCTTTTTCATCCCGGAATACTTCATCCCACCACTTTGGGTCGGAAGCTTCGGTTTTCCCAGGCACAGCGCACAGCACGTCGAAGGAAGCCTCTTCCAGAGGCTGGGCAGTCTTGCCCACCATCAGCCTCGGCTTTCTCCTGAATGCATCTGATGGAGGCGCCCAGTACACAATGTCGCCTTCCTCCGTGTTGATCGTCACCAAGGGCTCCAGGGGGGCTGGCTTCAGTCGGCTCGCAACCATGTCGCGAAGATACGGGAAGAACCACATTCTATCCCACCAAGTGAAGCGGCGCTCTTTCAGGCCGTGCTGCCATGCATTATGGTGGACCATGGCTGGGACAGCCTGCGTGTAGAAATCCGTGTAGAGAGGCATGTCACCCCATTGCGTCTCGGGGGCATACCCCTCCAAAGGGTTGCGTACGTGGACAATGTCCTCAGGTACGCCCTGAACGCGAGCCGGTACGAGCCCAGCCTTGGATGAGTATTCGTCGACGGCGGATTGGTTGCCCAGGGCGACAATGTCGCCGTGATCTTCCGAGTGGCACGTGGCCAGAGACAGTTCCTGTGTATAGTCCAGCCCAATATGATATTCGAAGTCCCTTTCCATCAGAGTGGTCGCGCTGCCTTGTTCAAGCGACTGCGTCCGCCTCCAGGTGCGCCACACCTCCTGCTCACCAAAGACTTGACCCGAGACGCCCTGCTCACTGGAGAGCTTGATGCCTGATTCCGCTTTGCTGTCGAGCTGGTCGAAGCCACGGCGAAACGCGCGCCGCAGGTCGCCTGCGGGGCCCATGTACGTGCCTCCGTTGATGAACCGCGGACGTACATTGTGGAAGTTGGGCTGGTAGGGATTGCTTGTTTCAATGATGATGTCGGTGGCATCCCCGTACAGATCGGCGGGAAGAGGACTCTCGGGAAGCTCCTCGCAGTGCAGATCGTAGCCATCGGGAATGCCTGGCCAGCACCGTTTCTGCGCGGAGAAGACAATGGTCTGCTCCATCGGCATAGGGTCTTCTTGGGACCACTGTTCCCGAAGCCGCGCATTGGCACGCGCGTTGATCTCGTGAAAGCGTCGTAGCAGGACCTCTGGGGGCAGCTGGAACCAGACATCAAAGCCATCAGATATGATCACAATGTCGTCCTCGTGTAGCTTGTCGTCGGGATGGGCTTCCTCGTCAAGTGCAGCGTCAAGGTAGCGCAAGATGCCGGTGATTTTGGCCAGGTTGGGGCCGCCCCTCCATTTGGAGGCTTCAAAGGGATCGCGGCCCCAGTTCGTGATAATCGGTGACGGATAGCCCAGCGCGATCGCGCTCATCATGAACTTGCACAGATTCACGCCAGGCCCGTTGACAGGCGTCACAACGACCAGACGACGGTCTTGTTGAGTGGGAGCCGGTGGTGGAGGGGCAGGTTCTTCAGCCCCAGCATTAGGCTCTTCTGGAGCTGGGTCCTCCACGTGTTCGGCGGGCTGTGGTTCGGGCTGAGGCTCTTCGGGGTGAGGCTCTTCGGGGTGAGGCTCTTCGGGGTGAGGCTCTTCGGGGTGAGGCTCTTCGGGGTGAGGCTCTTCGGGGTGAGGG